TGCCTGAGTTCAACGAGTTCGTTGGTTTCGCCACTGTAGGCACCCTATTGAGCACGCCCGATCCCTTTGATCGAGGGGGTTTGAGTCAGGTGACAACTTGGATATTCCATCTTCCTTCAGGTACTCAACGCCCTTCCATTCCAAGTAGGCGAGAGTTTTCCAACGCCCTTCGATTCCATGTGCTGGCACCCAATCCTGTAGCAGTACGAAGTTTCCAAGATGGTACAGGCGACGACATGAAGGCAGGATATTCTCCTCGAGCTGTTCGATGTAACAGTCAGCGTTCACTTTCAGTCCGGGGTCCACGAAGAAAATATCGGTCTTTCCATTCCAGGAACTTCCGGTCCATACCATCAACCCGCGCCTTGGCGACTGTGGTGAAGATGATGTCCTAGACCGTAGCGACGTTGTCGAAGCTGCTCGATGTGAACCGCAGTAGGCTACCTTGTGCAAGTTTTTCATCAGAAATCTTCAGAGTAGGAGCGCTGAGGCGGGGGTCGCTCAGGTGGCTCCGCCCGCGTCTACTCCGCGCGCGTCTCTGGTTGGCATGCTCTCTCGCTCTTATCTGGCGCCTCGCTCAAAATCCCCATCAATTCTTCACGTCCCGCTTGAAACCCAGAGGGCCTTATTTGGGGACTTCTGGACGCTTCTCTCTGCTTTTTTCTTGCAATCAAGTGGCAGCTGTACTTCCGTTTTTCAACCCGCTACCTGCAATCGTTCTGCCGGCTCATCGCGACAATGCCTGTTGAAATGCGGCCTACCTTAAAGGCAGTGCCCGCGTTCAATTTGATCAGTTATGAAGCTCAGACAATTACAACAAGGTTCAATTTGATCAGTTATGAAGCTTAGACAATTACAACAAGGTAGCAAGTAGTTCATTAGCGAGGAAGATGAGATTGTACGTGCTCAAGGCGAAGAGAAGGCGCGGCCGCACGAGTTCTCACTTGTTGGTATCAGCTGTTTTCCCTTATCACCTCACTCTCACCATTCGACGTGGAGAGAAGCAGCAATGGAACAACCGCACCATCAGGCAACCATTAGAAATGAAGTTGGGCGTAGTGGTCGCCAGGTGGGCGGGGTGGCCGACTCTTCACGAGCGGGCGCCGCTATTCTCTCGCATTTTTGGAGTTCGAGAATAGTAGCGTCCGACATCCGTTATACGCTGAGCTACGATTTACAAAGAGTGGGCAGTGGAAAAACAAGATGAAGCGGGGCGCTGCCTTTATGCTACGGGCGGGACGGGTCAGATCTGTTATGCGTACCCCGTCGATTAGTTAAGGACCGATAGAAGGGAGAGAATCCACGAATATGGCGAACGATATATACTATAGACTGAACGCTTGCTATCCACACCCGATAGGCCTACGGTGTGCTGCCCTTGAATTTGTCTACTGTAAAGGTTTAGCAGTGCTTTCAGTGATCGCAGCTTTTCACTTCGAAGACTTACTGTGGCGATCGAGTACTTTGCGCAGGATCGTCCAAAATGAGGCCGCGTGCATGCGGACCTACTAGCCGTCTGTTCATACGTGAAGTTGTATTGTACGGCTCAGTAGAGCACGCGCTCTTCTAAGTGAACGACGCCGCGCTGTTTTATACTTCTTCGGACGCCTCCAGTGGGGTGTGGTTTCGCATGAACATCTATGTTCGCGCGTTGGCCATGTACCGAGTGTGTTGGAGTTCTCATTACCAGTTTCTCGAAGAAAATCGTATAAATCAATCAAAAACTTTCGTGATCACCGCATGGGCTAAGAAATAGGAGGAGGCACACCACCACTGTGCGCTCATCATTGATGCGTCTCGGATGCGGTGAAGGATGGGCGCACCAGTAAGGAACGCATAATGGGTGAGAGTCTCCGCCTATTCTGTTATGGTGGAGTGTGCCTTCGATTTGCTTCTAACCAAAACGTAATGTGGTGAACAATACTTGCTTGCAGCGGCATCCTTTCGATCTCAGCCTTAGCTAACCTGTCTAGCGGAACTGGTAATCCTTCTCTTGTGAATTACCTCCCCATCTTCGCCACCTTTATCAATTAATTATGCCTCAGACAACCATTTTAAACTATTTTAATATTTCTATTTCGTATAAGACAACACGACGACATTCTTCATTTACACTTCAATACTACTTGCTATTCACAAATACATCATCAAACACGTCGAGAATTTGCTGTGTTTTCCTAAATGTCACGAGATCAGTAGGCGTGATTTGCCACAAACAGAGACTGTGAAGCAGCTTTGTCAGCGTTTGCATCGCCAGTATATTTCCCAAGAGAAGCCAATGAGTTTGCCTGCGCTCTCTGCATGAACACCGCCTGAAATTATATGTTTGACAGCAGTTGGTACCATAATATTGGTAGGTCCAGACTGAACAAGACTCGTAGAATTGGAAATTACGCGCTCATGCAATATGCTGTGTTCCGCAGCGAAAAAAAACGTGCTCAAAGAACCTTAACGGCAA